GCCCAGCCATCGTCTGCCGCACCGCGCTTTATTCGCTGTAGCTAATTCGGCCTGGAGGAAACCACGCGGAGGTCAACAGGTGACGTGGAAACGAAGCATGAAGAAATGCACAGAACCATTAGGTAGGGTAGGTGTCTCTCGCCTTCCAGGTTGGGGTCGGAAAGACTCCACAACTGGTTGGTTGGAGACACTGAAGGATATGGCAGCGAACCGGCAGCAGTGGCATTCTTGTTGTCGTTTCTTATCAGGTCAGAATGCTTGAAACGATATGTATGCAGAGTTCGATTGCATACTCTGTGTGTTGACCATAGTGGCTCATCTTCTTCTACCTTCCTCAAAATAGATTCAACTCCTGTCCGCCTTCAACTTTACCACTAACCTTGTATGCATTGCGAGTTTGGCAGCGGTCAGTGAAGTTCGCTTCACGGTATTTCGCTGTACGATGATGATGATGATGATGTGCATTGTATGACAGCCCCGTTTGATTGGTCGCTTCCCCTACCTGCAAATTGTATCATTGTGTATCCAATGGGAAGGAAGTAAAAATGAAAATGAAAGCGAACGACTGAACTAAGCTAACACAGGCTTAAAGATGAGTAAATCCGACCGACCCTGTGGTTATGCACCAGTTTCACACTCTTACTTAGATATCCTACTCTTGCCGCGGTTCGTAGCGTTCTGCTCCGCGGTTGCGAGACCTGGCCTCTCCAAGCGGAGGATGCTAATCGTCTGTCCCTATTCGACCACCGATGTCTCCGAAGTATTGCTCCTGCCTGTTGGGAACATCCGGTGAGCAATGACGAAATTCGTCGTCGTGTGCTGATAGTTGCTCCTTAACGGAAAAAATCGTTCTCCACTGCGTCCGATGGCTCGGTCATGTTTTTCATATGCTTCTTCCATCGTCTACCTGTCCGTGCTCTCTTTACACGTGCTGGGCAACATAGGGAGAAGCTTCACGGCGGTCAGACCGTGACATGGGATATGAAGAGTTTAGCCTTAGCATCGGCTTCGATTGGTGTAGCCTGCCTTCCAGATTGGGGCCCAAGGAATGAGGATTGCCAAGGGTTAGAGATGCTGAGAGATGATATGGCTCAGAATAGATGTCAGTGGCGCGATTGCTGTACGGTCTGCATGTCGAAATCCCGTTCCCCGTAACCGGCAAAACAACTTAGAACAGTCTCCCAGTTCTCTGTTTTCCCCATTTTCATTTCATCTTTTTGTACTCCTTCCTTACATCATTTTACGTTGGCACCGTGCTTGTTGTCAACCCGGTGTGATATATATATATATATATATATATTCTTACGTTGGTTCCTCTTCCATCCTTTCAGGGTATGAATCGTGCGCAGTCAATCGTGACCTCGGGACCGAATGGTGTTGGAAAACGAATGGAAGATCTTCCAGTACATCACAAATTAATTATTGTCGGGTGCTATCTGCTAAGACGCCAACGTGGTAAACAGGAAGTCCCATTTACGGAACTTTGTGAAACCTATGGATCCATTTGTCGCAATCACAAATTTACTGGTCTCGGAGAGTCGGAATTGGTCACGATTTGTGGTCTACTAGAATCTCGTGGTTATCTGGATTTTTCTGTGATGAAAGGTAATGCCAGTACAAAGCGTGATACACCGGCACGATTTCGCTCTGTCAAATTACGACTGGACGATTGTACAGTGCAGCAATTGCTTTCGGATGATCTTTTCTCCAGAATTTTGTCCACCACTCTTTAGCTGTACTCACTAGAACAAACTATACTTTCAACCCCGATGCATTTGTTTTATCTACGTGGCTCGCTCCAGACAAAATCCAGGTATCCTTTCAATCTGCCCCGGGTCAAACTGTTGTTTGCATTTACCAGATCAATTCTAGCTTTCTTACCCTGTCAGGTCGTTTTCCGTGGGCCTTGCATCGTCTGTTCCATGTTTTCTTTTTAATAATTTTTATACCTCAATCCTGTTCAGATCACATGGCGCTCATTTTGGACCGATAATAAATGTGTTCCTCATTCTTGTTTCATTTTTTTCTACAACGAATCAGATTTTATCTGCATACCGCAACGCAATAAAAAACTTGACGTGTATTTAGCATAAGTAGCAACATGTGTTCTGGGACCGTTCGCGGTGAACTGCATAAACCTTCCTGTCCGATTCACAAATCTCTGCAAAATCGCACGCATATGTTTGAATAACGAGACCAGCACGGCTTAAGTTAAACCCAGGGGTACTACCGGAAACGGACTCAATGGTACATAGCTTACCGCGTGACAGTTTGAGACCGGGTGATCTACCCAGGAAGCAAAGAAGTTCTACTCGCGGACTGGGTCTGGTGGGTTGTGTTGAACTTTTTGGAAATGGTAGGTAATTTAAAGGGTGCTGTCAGTGCAGCTGAGTCTCCAGATCGCGGATAGAGGATAGCCATGCAGTTAGTTTGCTATAAACTGTTGTGCATCGCTTCACGACAGACCAACGGCGATGCACCAGGATGTTGCGAAAGCGATCTTTCCGAAAAAGCAAATCACAATGGTCGATTGGAATCGGGCGTATGTGAATCTGACCGCTTGTTGCAACCCACACGGAACGAACGATAACTTTGATCCACATGCTTAAGCTCACGGCGGCATATCCTACAGACACCGTGTCAGTCACGGAGGAACCCAGCGAATATACGATCTTCAAGATTCAATCGAAGCAGGAGGAAGATAGACCTTCACGTGAGATTGTATATTTGGCTTAACCCGTCTGAGTTTACTCCGAGTGCGGAGCAAATCACGGTAAGACAGTGTTTATAAAAAAGCAAAAGGTCCATGATTTACTCGTAGACTGAATACTGCCAGGTTTCCTAAGCGAGTAGCCGGAGCTTTCAGCTTATCGAAACCGGCGGTTTGCACAGTTGTGGCATAACCCACTGACACTGGGTTTCTTTAAACTCTCCGATTTCTTGACGCGCGTTGGGCAATCCCGGTGGACAGCGAGCATGGCAAACAGCGTCCGCTTTTGAAGCGCGAGCTCACAAAGAGCTTAATTGATGACCAGGAAACCTGGCGGGCACTGCGTTCATAGGAGATGGACTTAGTAGGTAGGTGTGGAATTATCTGGCACCTTTATAATTGATTCGTCCTACCGACCCCCAAAGACTGCATAGGTAAACAAAATCTGCAAAGTAGATAACACTCCAATAGACAACCTTCATTGACGTTTGTAAAATGCTGAGTAAAGCAACACATATCGCAGTTCAACCAACTTCCACCGCTGGCAATCCCAAATAATTCTCTTGAGAGTGCGCCCTGTTCACTATCAATGGCACAACCCACAGCAGCTCCAACTCGTGAAGCAACATGAGGCGTCTGGACCAAACAACAACCTGCAGTCGGTCATTGTTGGTAATGATAAAGCTCTTGTCAGACAGATTTCGGATATCTGGGAGGACAAAACCCTAATCCCTACATGGGGATAGTCGATTGTTTTGCCTGTTTACAAGAACTGTCACAATGCCTGTTCCAACCCCAGAGACATCCATCTGATTTCAATAACACCGAAGCTGGTAGCGTCAGTCTTATCACGCAGACGATGTCTGATTCATTATGAATCCGCGAACATCAGACCGGGTTCCGTGCATGTCTTGATTGCGTAGACAGTCTTCATCATCTCCTTTAACATCGCCACGTATATATAGGCCACAAACTGTTGTCGTGATTTTGGACATAAGAACAGTCTTCTATTCCATCGATTTATCTGCCTTTAGGATTTGTTCGCTGAGATTCGGTGTACCCAGGCAATATGGTCTGATTCCAAAAGCACTCAACCCGCAGACTTCAGAGAAGGTTAGGGCCTAAGGTGAAAGTTCACCTTTTTTCGTGTTTCTCTTCAACTTTGCCATACATGATGTTCTACAAAAAGAGTTACTTTATGTAACGAACGCTGGCGTTGAGCTCTATCCTGAAAACAGCTGTAAACTTTGGATATGCCGATGACATTGTTTTACTCGATGACAACGCTTCGGCGATTCAAAGCACACTGAATCACTGTCATTGAGGCTTCTCGGTATGGCACGCGCTTTGCACCGTCCATGTGCAAGGTGACTGTAAGACTGACAGGAACCGATATCTGCAAAATTGTTGGGTAATGAAACCCTGAGAGTAATATAGAATTTTGTTCACCTTCGGAGTTGCATAACGTCTGGGAAAGTGTGGACGAGGAGATCTGTCAGCGCGCAATCGGAGCAAGATTGATGTTTGCCTATCTGCGATACTCTTGGCACTGGTGGGGCAAATACCTTTTATTGGAAGGGCGTATATAGCACCTCTGTGAAACTTGCTCTCCGAGGAGATAATGTCCAAAGACTCTGTTTTCGACAACAATTGTCTGAGCAGCACTGTCTGTGTATTGTGAGCGCATCACCAC